TAAGGATGTCTTGAAGGAGATCTCAGTGAAGCAGAAGTGGGACTTGGACGCCATTAAAGTCTCCAGATTGGACCTCAGGAAGCTTAGGTTTGGGACCTCTAACCGGTACGAGTTCCGAGTCGGAATCGGAAAGACTCACTTGTCGGCCATATTCTCCGATGAAGTATCGTCCTGGAACAACTTCAGGAATCCGACAGCCGATTTGGGTTCTCTACTCGATGAAGTTCGCTCTTTTGCTCTACTCGACACCTTCAAATTGGAGGGTCCTTTTGAATTGCGAGTCGGCGATTCCAATTATTCTTCCCTGTTATTGCCGGTACGACCCTGAAATTGAGATGCTTTTTTCCTTATTTCAATTCTGTGCGACTAGATTGATCATGATAAACTGGGAAAGTGGAGATCAAGTTAGTTTCTTTTTTCCCTCAGTTGTGGTTTTGCTTTGTTCGGTTCTGCGGATAACTTGTTCAAGCATTTCATTTGTGATGATTGTTTGATAGAAATCCGTGTTAGAGATAGGAAAAGATTTTTTTTCCCTTCCTTTTTGGGATTAGAAATCATATGAATTCCTTGATTATTTTGCTTCTATTCTCCCTAAAAATTGTTCTTATCGTATGGCTTTGGTATTGTTTGTTCTTTTCCTGGAATTCTACTTCCTAGTATTTTCATTTACTTTTGCGGCTCAGTTATACCCCCTTTGACATTGCACATGTTGTCTTTGGAATGGGACTTTCGTGTCTATTATAGTTTGAATTTTTTCTTTGAATATGTTGATAGTCTTATTTGCTTGTGAATAGCAGACTCACGTTGTGATATTTCCAGATGAACCGTACACATGCTGGGTTTAATCGGATTCTTGTTGGTGAAGGCATCACAATCGAAGTAAGAGGTGCTCAAGAAGTCTCCGCCTTTCAGGCATCTGATTTCAGTTCGACCGTGAATGTAAGCCACGAGATTGGGAACGGGAAAACCGAGTTTTGGCCCATTCGGCATTCATTTTGCGGAGTGCTAGTTCAAATTCAAGTCTTTGGATCTGCAGCATTGGCAGCATACAGGACTAAAAACCCTGATAATTGCATTAAAACCAAACGTATCTCGAAGGAGACGATTGAGCTTCTGGCAGAGAAGTGCTATGGTAATAATATACACAAGAAGCGAAATTGCCCTGTGGATTCCTTGGGTTTGAGAATAGCGATGCTTGAGAAAGTTCTGAGAAGCTATTTTGGTGAACGCCTAAACGGTACAGTTGGCCTTTTTCGAGGAAAAATCAGCGCTTTGGCTCTTATCCGGTTCCAGCTTGAGCTGGAAATGGATTCTAGAAGCAATGATACTCAGCAAGCCAAAGCAAGTTGGAGAACAAGACCCTCTGTTGAAAGGGTTTGGTTTGATGTATTGGCAAGAGTTGAAGCAGAGAGGTTGAAGCTCCTTGTGGCTAAGGAGACAAATCCTTCCTTTGTAACAGATACAGCTGGATGGAGTAATTTGTCGAATATCTCCTTTACGAAGTTCCCATCTCTTCTTGTTCCTTCTGAGGCTTTAACATTGGATGTCAAATGGTAGGTAGGTGAAATCTCTCCTTGTAAGATAAAAGATGAGATTGTGCCCTGTTTACTTGTTCAATCATAACAGAGTGCATCTCTACGTGTTAATTGTTACGGAAGCTCATAACTGCCTTGTAAATAGGTTATTCTTTTTATTAAAAAGAGAGAAGAGATAATAGAAACTATAGTTTTTACTTCTGGAATCTGGTGATTTGAGCTAGTTCTGAATCTGATATTGCTTTGTTTTTTACTATGGAGTAAGTTACTGCTTTAGCTGCTGCAGGGACATTTCCATAGATCGTTGAATTAATTGTTAGAGAAATTGTAAGTTAAAAACTCCAGATTCATGGGATGATGTGGGGGTGATGATGCTTGTCGATGAGCATTAATTTTAGGAATGAGAGCCTATGGAGCTAAGATTTGTTCTTTTCTTTTCTTTTTTTTCGTTTTAAAATTTTTCTGATGCAATTTTTGAGGAGGGCATGGTTCGAATCTGGAACTGGTTTCTGGTAGCTTGGTCTTCCCTACGGGAACAGGGGATACAGATAGAAGTACATCATCATTAATGGGACTCTTGTAATGACTCGGGAAATATCGAGTGTAATCGACTAGGATGGATGGTGTTTGTTAATTTATATGTTTAGAGAAGTCTTTTATAATCTAAATTGGTAGAAAAAAGAAAAAAAAAAGAGGAAATATTCAAAAATAATTGCATTGTTAATAATTGGCTTCAACACAAATTGCGAATTATAAATTGTCAGCTCTTAAATAGGAATAAAGGGCTGGATAGCAGAAATCATCCGAATAAGCAATATTTCTTCTCTGATATATCCTCCATTGGACTATCTACACAATAAAAACTTTTTGTTATTGACATAATTCTAGCAAATTCTTGCTGTTCCCACGAGTATCAACGACAATACTTAATTCATTTAAGTGAACATGCAAACAGTACCATACAACATAACTACATCAGCACTAGGAAAATATATAACCTTTAAACCTGGCAATCCCTAATGAATCCCACGGCCAAATTTTTATTTCATGCTTTGGTGTCCTTGGAAAGATCATCTTCCTTAACTTCCACCTTCTTGTACTTGTACCAAGATGCACACATGACATAGATCCCAAGATTCAGCACACTCAGCACAGACAACAGCCAATAGAAGTAGTTCAACTTGTCTCTGTTGAGGTTATTGCTGGCCAACCATCCACCACTCACTTTGTTAACCACCTCCACAACCACTGAGCTCAAGAAGTACCCAAAAGCAATTGAGCACCATGAGATGGCTGTGCTGAGAGACTTCATACCATCTGAGCTCTCTTCATAGAAGAACTCAAGAAGCCCAACAACAGAAAACATGTCCGCGGCTCCGAAAATAGCGTACTGCAATCCCAGCCAGAAGACACTAATCGGCAGAGGCTCAGTGCTGTCGACCATGTTGTGCTGGAAAGCCACAGACTTGCGCCAGGTCTCGACGACTCCGGCTACTGCCATGGAGACGGCCGAGAGGACCAGCCCCACGGCTATGCGCTGCAGGTGGCGAATGCCGGTGGGAATTCCTGTGATTTTTCGGGCGATTGGCACTAAAATCTTGTCGTAGATCGGGATGAGGATGAACATGAACAGCAGAGGGATGATGGGGATCGAAGCGCTGGGGATTTTGAAGCCGAAGAGATCGGTGTCCATGGTGGTGCTTTGTTGGATGGAGAATGTCTGGAGTTGAGCCATACACGTGTTCATGAAGACAGTGCTGAAAATTATGGGAAGCATGCGAATTAGGATCTTTGTTTCTTCAACTTGTGTGACTGTGCAGAGTCTCCATGGTCCTTGGGGTATTGTTGATGATGCATCGTCGCTTCTTATTGCCACTGCTGCCCGGTCCAAGAATCTAGGAAACATTTTATGAATATTTGGATTCTATATGTTATTTGTATTTATGAAGTTGAGTTGAAATAATTTGTCTTTTATGGAAGCTTCAATGTGATACCTGAATTGCTCTGTTCTTTGAATAATTTCGTTATGTAAAGCTGCTTCTTTGTCGCTCTGAATCTCATGCAACTCCCCTGCGTTATCCGGTATGGCAAGTTTTCGGTTCCGATAGGCAGCCACGAAAACCTATATTAAACAACAATAGGATGAAAAGATTATAAATAAACTATACTGAACAAAGAGCTAGCAGCAAAACAATTATCATAACACTATCAAGTTTTTTTTTTTTTTTTTTTTTTTTTTTTTTTTTTTTTTAGAACTTCTGATGTCAAATTTTTGAGTTTTTACACAAGGATTTATAACTCCTAAAGTGACATATCCATTATTTTTAACCGGTCAGAACTTCTGATGTCAAATTTTTGAGTTTTTACACAAGGATTTATAACTCCTAAAGTGACATATCCATTAAAAAGGAGTTTGGTGTTTTAGCCCTGATTTTTTTTTTTTTAGTGAGTTGGTTAGTTGTTCCTCATCGCAAAACATCTTTGAATTTAATAAAATATTGCCTAGTGTGCTGCGATGTGTCAAGATTTGAAAGAAAATGCTCTCATGCATGTAACATGACATGTTTCATATTCTATTCTTATCTTCAAACGAGCTCACATGATGTATAAGTGCATTTCTATTCAAATTTTAATTGTCCTTGGGGATTTGGAACCTTTTATAATTAATAAAATTTAAAAGGTAATTTACTAGAATTAAAAGTTTAGAGAAAATTAATTAATCATAAAAAATTAAAGGGACAAAAATGCCAAGTACTCTAATGATCATATAAAAACATTGCACAACAAATTAACTTTGCTATCATGGTGGTATTTTTTGGTTGCATACCTGTAAGAAACGAAGAAGCGGGCTTCCTTTGGGGATGTTATGCCGGTACAAGGACTTGCCCATGCAAACAAAGACCGCGGCAAACAAGACTGCTATAGTGCAGACACCAAAGGCCCAGTCCCAGCCCTTGTTGGTGCTAATCCACACCACAAAAGTGACACCAAACATAGCTCCAATTGTGAGGCTAAACATGAACCAGTTGAAGAAGCTGGAGAGTTGGCTTGCTTCCTTGGGGTCCTTCTCGTCGAACTGGTCGGCTCCTAAGGCCGGCAAAGCTGCCTTGACTCCGCTAGTACCCAGCGCAATCAGATAAATTCCTCCATAGAGAATAGCCAATTGACCTGTGGATGCGTTCTCGCATAGTTGGTTCCTCTGGTCCGGTGAAACATTTTTGCATGGAAAGGGTCTTAAGTCCGGAAGGTGTGCTTGTACCGTCAAAAGGACATATCCCTATACATTACACCAAATTAGTCAATCATCAATTGTCACATTATTGTTTTTCTAATTACAAATTTCATTACAACTCAATGAAAAAATCTAATAGTAAATTTATATCTGACTCAAACTTAGAAGGGTAGAGTTGAAATCTCCACTTCAAGTTTAAAAAATTGGTATTACTTAGGCTAATGATAAATTGTGATGCTCAAAGGCAAAATTCATTGTAAACCACAAAAAAGAAAAGAAAAAAAAGATACTTTCACGTGTTAGAGACTTTTGCCTAAATCGCGCGTAGTCCAAGAGAGGCTAACTTTTATCACAAACTTTTGTTTGTCAAGTGGGATGGCAGTTTTTTTGATAGTACGAATTAAGCAATATTGTCTCAACTCTCTACTTTAAATAAAATAGTCCATCCTTAAAGAAAAAGTGGTTAAAGAAATAAAGAAATTATTACACTACAAATTGTATACTATACTTTGTTTGGTCTCCTGTAATTTTATATGCAAGTTGCAACTAGTTATTTGATATGCAAGCCCCCCAAAATAAAAATGATAATAATAATAAGCAAGTTGCTTTCAAAATTTTCTTCTTGTCGTACATTTGTGTTACTTAATAATGTTGTTTTGCTATTGTTTAAGGTGACAATTTTGTATATTTATCTCCTGCTTTTTTCGCTTAATGGGTGGATCAAGCTAATTTCAAGAAGCGAGCTATAAAATTTTTAAGTGAAACCGGAAAAAGACATCTTTGGACCTTTCACGTGTTAGGTGCTAAGCACAATGACTAATTGTACTATAATATTCATATACTTGCATATAATTGGCTTCATTCGTTATCAAAGAAACAAATGATTACTTCTTATTCGCCGTAAAGGTCAACGATCTCCTATGTTTCAATTAAAAAAAATCACTTTTCCTACCAAAAAAATTAAAAAAAATACTTTAGTCCATCGCTAATCATCTCAAAATATATTTAGTCCTTTAGTTCATATAATTATACCCATCAATTCGTCACTTTAATTTGTAGTGGCAAAAATACATGGGGACAGATAATTGTTAGTTTACGAAATCATACTCATGAAATCCCCCAAAAAATAGTGACATAACACTTTGATTCTCTCCACTTCTTTTTTCTTTTTCTTTCTTTTGCGTCTCTTTTTCTTAAAAAAAAAAAAAAAAAAAAAAAATCTCTAAATGATAGCGATGGAAACTTACTATCAGTTCAATGGAGGCGAAGATGACACAGGTCTTAAATCTTGACAAATATGTGTCAGAGATGAACCCCCCAACAAGAGTCAACAAAAATGCAGTTCCCATGAAGTTGGTGAGTGTTGTGGACGACTTTGTTAAGCTGAAGTTCATGTAGCCATAGAAGTATGTCACCAAGCTTATCGCGTTTGCGATAAAAGCCATGTTCTCCAGACCCTCCGTTGCTGCGAAACCACATCACTAAACCTTATAACTATACATGTTTTTGAATCAGATAGTATATTTAAATTATGGTCATTAAATAATGACCAAAAAAACTAAACTTACCATAGACAAATAGTGTAGCTCTATTTCCTCCCAGTTGCTTGGCTTCTATCTTAGGCTGGGCTTTACAATCTCCGCAGATACCCTGCTCAAACATGTTGCAAAAAAAAAAAAAAGGAGGTTTGTAGATTAGCCTGAAGAGAAATATGTAGAAGTATTTCAATGAAGAAAAAGTGGCAATGGAAGATATTGTATTTATGATAACAAAGCTCTCTTGAAACAGAAAAGAATTATTGGCTGTTCTGAGACTGGTAAGGACAGGAAGATTTGGTCGCTCGGATCAAAAGAATGGTCCAAAATTTAAACTAGAAAGTTAATTCGGAACAAAGAAGGGATAACCAGTTACCATTGTGTTTTGTGCAGCTCTTCAAGAACCAGAAGAATGAAGGCTATACGTATATTAATTGGTTTGTTGATGACTATTTTTATAGAGTCGAACTATGGTTTAGATATATAATATACACTATACATGTATACATCCAATGATTATCAGAAGGGAATCCACATTGTGTCCTCTTCGTGCTTTAAAAATGAAAACTGTTTATTTTATTTTATTTGTTTTTTTTTTTTTTTTTTTTTTTTTTTTTTTTTTTTTTTGGTTTTTTTGTGTGTGTGTGTTGAGAAAGACTAAAAAGAATTATTGGCTACGATGGTAGAATGGCTAATCTGGCTATTACTATGGCATTTGACAAGCTTTTTTTTTTTTTTTTCTTCTTTTTTTTTTTTGTTCTAACTACAAGTGGTATCCTTATTAAAAAAAAAAAAAAAAAAGCCAAAACAAATGGGATCAATTGTTTTTCAATTTAAATAGTTGGCAATCCATACTTCATACTTTCAACTTTCAAGGCTTCGAGTTATTTAAGGAACAAGAAAAAGACATTCAAATTTATTGTCTCTCTATTCTTTTGCTGAAACTCGCGTTTCTTATTAGATAAATCATAGAGGCTAGTGAAAGGGCGATTCTAGTCCATAGAAAGATATGTAATATTCGTATTCCAACCAGACAGATTCAGACCATTTGTCTATCTATTAGGTTCTCTCTCTCTCTTAAATTTACAACTTTAAACTTATAACTAAAAGAGTTTTGTTCATTTTTTCAATAATGAAACCAATTTTGAAAGCGTGAAAATTCCTTATTAAGAAAGGTTACTCCATATCTATAAATTTGAAGCCGTTAACAATTAGCTATTCATATTAACATCAATGTAAAATTATATATGTACGATACACATCACCGTCACATAAATTAAATTTAACAAGTATAAACAAGAAACTTAAAGCATGGCATAGATTGGGGTTTTTTTTTTTTTTTAAATATATATATTTTTTATTAAGGCATAAATTGAGGTTGGCAAGGCGTGCTTTTGGGACTTAGAGAATCATAATTATCATTTTATTTGGATGTTAAGTACACTTCAAACATTTGAATTCCAATTTAACAAGAATAAAATTGCCGGCTCTCGTTCACGGTCCATGTGGCTTAATACACTCAAGTCCTTAATATATAAAGATGCCGCGCCATTTTTATCTTTTTCTTTGGCTTTTTTTTTTTTTTTTTCCTTAATGATTAAAAACACGTTTAAGCACAATTTGAACCGGCGCAAATTACCAAAACATCCCTACTTCAAATACAAGTTCTTGGCACGTATTTGGATATCCAATCTTTGTTTGCTGGGTATTGCAACACCACTCTCACTCTATAAACATCAAAATGTATATAAATGTTTTTTATTTTTATTTTTATTTTGGCTAATTGATGACCCCAATAATATGATGAATTAAAAATTCAACTTACAAGCTATTTACTATCATATACATTCAATATTGGAATATCGTACGTCCAAAAACTTTTGTGATTATCTATGTGTGGATGATCACATGTAAACGACAACTCTGATAATGATTTTAACCACTATTACATTCATTGATCAGGTTGACCAAAGAAAACCTAGCTAGTAGCTACTCTTGCGTTGACAATATTTCGAACAGCAATACAGCATCATCCTGCACATGCTGATCTAAACAATAAACAAATCAACATTCATATTATGTATGTTTAACACACAAATTACTTTAATAATTTTGATAAAATTAAAAGGGTTGCTTCTTTCAAATTTATTAAAAAACATTGAACATTGTGATAATTTTCTCTCTTTTTGTTATATTTAAAATTATACAATTATCAGCCCATGACTCGACTATTTGGTTTTCAACTAGTGTTTTTACAACAAAAAACTTATATTCCATTAAAATAAAAAATGCAAACAAATAATTTTTTAAATAGTACCATTAGTCATTCTTTTTTTTTTCATTATTTTAAGAAAAAATTTCCCCCACAACTACATTTATAAATTATTTGATACTGAATGTGCGACATTATTGGCTACAAAAATGTGAAACGAAGAAAATATGTCAAATGTCTTGGCAAAAAAAAAAAGTACAGTTGGCCTAAGTACTACTAATTAAATGTTTTGATCAATAAAATAAAATAAACACGAGGTTCGTTAGAAGGGATGTATCAAATATGTAATCAAAACGGAGTTTTGTTTAATTACCAAAAAAAAAAAAAAAAGGAAATGGAACTATGGAGCTAATTTGTTCATGTTCGTTTTGTCTGTTAATGGAATCTTAACGATGTTTGTTGACGCCATAAGCTTTTAAAGTGGGGAAAAAAAAAACGAATGACATATGTACTTTAATTAGCTTATTAAATTATAACTGCCGAAAAGATAGTTTACGACCGATTGAGTTTTCTTTTCCTTTTGTCTTGTACTACTCAACTGGAATTTTTTGTTGGTTGGTAACGTCACTACTGTTTTATCATCATACGTTAGAGCCATTTACAAAGAATACTCCACCAAGTAGATTCCTGTTCGATGGTAATTAGATGCCTCTAACGCTTAGCTAGGGGTAAAGCGTGAAGAAATAATCTATGTTAGCACCGTTTTGGAGTTCGCAAAAGCCTTTGGAAACAGTTTTAAGCATTAGCAAAGTTTTTTTTTTTTTTTTTTTTTTAGTTTCTCTAGTAAGATTAGAAAAACTAAATTATCGGTAATTATTTATTTTTTAACCGTTAAATTTATTAAAAATTATCTGTTATATATACTTTTTAATATAATGTGATTTTAATTAAATTTAACGGTTAAAAATTAACATTATTAATTTTAAAGTCCATTAGAGAATGTCCCTTTTCTTTACCTATTGATAAACGTCAGATTTCAGAAGACCAAATGCTCATGCAAACAAGTTTTGATCTGAGAGACTACCAACTACATTTCCAAGAAAGTACATACACCGTCAATACTTGAAATTGTAAGTAGTTTTGGGCATGACTTAATGGTTTTTCTACACTTAAATGTAGAGTTTAAATACCCACTAAAGAAATCTCTGAAAACTTGTACCCTAAATTATGTACATTATTTCAAAATCTCCTTTATTTTTTTAAAATAGTTCAAAACATTTCCCGATTTATAACAAATCATTTAAAACGCTTCGTTCCGTTTAAATCTGTGTATAAGACTAATGAATTTGCTGACGTGGCATTCATTAAAATATATAAAAAATAATTAAATATTAAAAAAATAAAAAATAATAAATAACTTCAATTAAAAAAACCTAAAAACATTTCTAAAAACTGTAATTTCTAATTTCTTTTTTTAAAAAATCCCCTATTCTCCTCTCCTCCTAACAATTTCAACCACTGATGAAAACCTTAATCCTTGCTCCAAATTTCCCCGAAGGAATCACCAAGCGCATTTGCCAATTTGCAATTTCCTATGTTGATTTCAAATTGTATACGAAAAACATAAATGCACAATACCAATTCAATTACATTTCAAATGGTAAGTCACGCGATTATATCCATAGCCTAAGGGAGACATTTTCAGATAAAAGTTCAAAAGGTAGATTTTGATAAAAGGGATTTTTATGCAGAGCATCCGAAGCAATCTATGAAGGATCTCAGGATGGAAATACCACTTCAATCTTTGGTTGGGTTCACGTGGAGGGCAGCGAGCCGGTGAGGCCTCTTGGCTGGTTTCGCAGAGGGGGCAACGGGATCGTGAGGCTGGGTCTGCTCTCTCTAGAGCCATGGCATTCATGGATCGCGATGAGGCTCGTGAAAAACGGCACAACGGTCGGCGAGGGTCACTGCAAGCCCAACTACGAACCAGATTTGCTGTTGCGAGACTCCGCTGCACAAGTAGGGGTGTAATTCGGCCGGGTAGGCTCGGGTTAGGCCGAAAAATTGGGCCAAGCTGCACACTCCAGATTGAGGAAACTTTGGGCCGCAACACCTTCTTAGGCCCATAAACCCATAATCTTCGGGTGATCTCGGGTAGGCTCGGCTTACTCGGGTTAGTCGGGTTAGGCTGAATGTTGGGCCTATCCAGAGATTGCTGAAACAATTTTCTCAGTTTTAGGCAAACACGTTACAATTTTCTCAGTTTTAGGCACGAGATCTTCATTTTTTTATGGGAAATAGTAGAAAATATGCCAATATAAAAAGCTTAAGAAAGTATATAGGCCAATTTTTAGTTATAAAAATTAGTAGGTCATAACTTGTCAAGTTATTGTTCATAACCAGATAAGTTATGGACAAACTTGTCAAGTTATGGTTCATAATCAGATAAATTATGGACAATTATGGACAATAACTTGTGAAGTTATGGTTCATAACCAGACAAGTTATGGACGAAAATAGTAATTTAACATATTTATTAACTTATGTAAACTATTGACCTATTAATTTTAATTCATCTCAAATCTTGACTTATTTTCTTATTTCTCTCTTTTTTTATTGATATAAAACAAAATTTCAAAGACCAAAAAGTGTAAGAAGAAAAAACAACTTTCAATGAATTGCAAGTGAAGCAACGGACGATAAACAATAACAAAATCTTCCTTTTCTTTGTCAGAACCAAACGGTACAAGAAAGGAAAAAATTTTAAATGAATTGCAATTGAAGCAACGTAAGAAAAAATCATAAACCCGAGGAGATGAGTCGAGTTTGGTTCGCTTATGAAGCGGTTCGAGAGGCTCCGATGAGTCGTCGATCTCCGGCTTCACCGGCGCCTTTTTCGAACCCTTGGCTTTCATCGTCTCAGCCAGTCCCGAACTAATGAAGTGAACCATCGGACTCCAATTCAATTTGCTAACGAACCAAAAAAACAAAAAACAAAAAAATTGACCGACTTGCTAAGTTAACTCGGAAGCATTGTAAGACCCACAACAATGGCGTCTGTCTGCAGAGGAAAAATTTTGGTTTGGGCCTCTCGTTTAAGTACCAACTATCTGTAGAGGAAAAATTTTGGTTTGGGCCTCTCGTATAAGTACCAACTGTCTGTAGGGTTTTTTGTATTAACACTTGTGTTTTTC